CACAGGGGAGAAGATCAACAGGAGGTCAGAGCCAGAGAAAGGTAAAGATGACATAACTGAAAATGAGGTGGCCTAGTGCAAGATGTCAAGGCCTAAACAGAGGAAAGAGGACATCTAAGTAGCGGGGAGAGTCCAACACCAAGAGTCAGAAGTAGAGTGAAGTGAGGAGAGCATTCAAGGCAGAGTTTGGCTTACATTAGTTTGCTGAAATATAAGAAGGGAGAAAAAGACATCCATGAGGTGGGGGTAGGGGGCTGGGAGACTGGTGGACTTAAATTGGGAATCACAGTTGCAGTAGGATAAGAAAGGCTTCTGTGTGGTAGAGGGAGTATCAGCAGAGATGGAAGATTAGTTACATACAGGATAATTAAATTAAAATGTAAATATAATAAAGATAATTAAACTAGGTTTCTCAATGTCAGTGAAGAGAGTTACAATTATAAACATTTTTTCAAGCAATCATGAGTATTCACCAAGATCAACCATATGTTAGTCCATAAAACAAACCTCCAAAAAATTTGAATATTGTTCTGACCATAATAGAACCAAACTAGAAATCAGTAAGAGAAAGACAAGAGGATAATCTCCAAACACTTGGAACTTATTTAACAAAGTTCTAAATAATCCATGGGTCAAAGAAGAAGTCTCAAAGGAAATTTTTAAAAAATACAACAAACTGAATAAAAATGAAAATACAACAAATCAAAATATGTGGGATACACTGAAAGCAGTAATGAGAGAGGTTTACAGCACTAAATGCTTACCTTAAAAAAAGAAATGGTCTCTAAGAAATGGTCTCTACTTTAAGAAACCAGAAAAAAAAAAAAAATCCAAAGCAAAAGAAGAAAATGACAGTGATAAGAGCAAAGAGTAAAATTGAAAACAGAAAAAATGGAGAAAAATCAATGAAACAAAAAGCTGGTTCTTTAGGGAAAAAAATCAATGAAATTGATAAAGCTAACAAGACTGACAAAAATAGAAAAAGTACAAATGAATAATACCACAAATGAAGCACTATAGATGCTGCTATTATTAAAAAGATAATATGAGAATACCATGGAAAATTTTATGTTCATAAATTTGACAACTTTGAAAAACAGGACACTTCTCAAAAACCACAAACTCCCAAAACTCAACCGAAACAAAATAGACAACTTGAATAATCTTGTAACCATTAAAGAAATTGAATTTGTAATTTAAAAGCTTTTTAAAAAAAATCTCCAGGCCCAGATGATTACACTGGAAATTCTATTAAATATTTAAATAAGTAGCAACCAATTTTATACAATCTCTTCTGGAAAACAGAAAAGAAGAGAATATTTCCTAACTCATTTTATAAGGCTAGTATTACCATGAGACTAAAACCAGACTAAGACGGTAAACAAACAGTCTAATACTTCTCATGAACTTTGATGTAAAACCTCCAAACAACAAAAAATCAAAATTAGGAATGTATAAAATCAATTAATATAATCCACTATATCAACAGCTAAAGAAGAAAAGTCATTAGTCGTAGTAATTTAAGCACAAAGTGTATGACAAAATCTAGCATATAATCACAATGAAAACTCTTATAAAACTAGGAATATAAGGGATCTTGCTCAACTTTATAAAGCGAATCTATAAAAAAATCTACAGCTAACATCATACTGATAAATTGAATGCTTGCTACCTCAAATTAAGAACACAGTAAGGATACCCTCTCTACACGCATAGCACTGAAAGTCCTAGACAGCATCATTGGACAAGAAAAAATAAAAATGAAAAGCACATGCATTGACAAGAAAGTAATAAAACTGCCATATTTGCAAATGACATGACTGTCATTGCCCTAAGCAATCAACACTAAAACTCCTAAAACTAATAAGCAAATTCAGCAAGGCTGCAGGAATCAAGATAAACACACAAAATTCACTCACATTTCAACAACAAACCAACATGAAATCGAAATTTAAAACAATGCAATTTACAATTGCTCCAAAGAAAATTAAATACTTAGAAATAAATGTGAGAAAACATGTATAAGATCTGTATCCTGAAAATTACAAAATACTGATGAAAAGAAATCAAAACCCTAAATATATGGAAAGGCATACCATATTCATGGATTGGAAGATTCAACAGTAAAGATGTCAATTCTTTCCAAAATTGACCTATATTTTTAACGTAATATCTATAAAGGTACCAGCAGGGTTTTTTGTAGACATTGGCAATCTTATTCTAAATTATTATGAAAAGGCATAGATTAGAAGAGTTAAAATAATTTTTTAAAAGAATAATGTGGAAGGAATCACTCTACCCAATATTAAGCCTTACTATATAGCTACAGTAATCAAGACAGTAGGCAGAAGTAGAGATATACAGATCAATGGATTAGAAACAAGAACTAAGAGACACATGAAAATATGCCTGATTTTTGACAAAGCTGCAAACAATACCAACTAGACATAAGTAGCCCTCCCTTCCCCCCTAAAAAAAGAACCTCGCACCTTATACAAAAATTAACTCAAAATGGCCTGTGGCTTAAACGTAAAACTATAAAATTTTTTGGAAAAAAAAACAAAAACAGGAGAAAGTCTTTAGGTACTAAGGCCATGCAAAGAGTTCTTAGACTTGACAGTAAAAGCACAATGCATAAAATGAAAAAGTTGATAAACTGGACCTGGTTAAAATTAAAAACTTTTGCTTTATAAAATCCCGTGAAGGGGATGAAAAGACAAGCTGCAGACGAGGAAAAAGTATTTGCCAACTACGTATCCAACAAAGTATTTGTACATAAAACATTAAGAACTCTCAAAACTCAACAATAAAACCAAGTATTTCAATGGGAAATGGACAAAAATGATGAAAAGACATTTGTATAAAGATAGAGATGGGAAATAGGCATATGAAACAATGTCTAAAATTATTGGCCATTAGAGAAACGCAAGTTACAAACATAATAACACTAAATACCTATCAGAATGGTTAAAATAAAAAATAATTATAACAAACACTGGCAAGAATGCAGAGGACCTAGACAACTCTTACATTACCAGTGAGAATGTTAGGTGGTAAACCACTTTCAATAAGTTTATCAGTTTCTTACAAAACTAACTAAACATGAATTTATTACACATTATCCCAAGGAAATGAAAATGTTATGTTCACCAAAACCTATATATGAATATTCATAGCGGTTCCATTTTTAACAGTAAAGACTGGAAACAATCCAAACGTCTCTCAACAGGTGAATGGTTAAATACAGTGTGGTACCTCCATACCATGGAATCCTATTCAGCAACAAAAGGAACAAACTACTGATACATACAACTTGGAAGGGTCTAAAAAGAATTACATTGAGTGAAAAAAAAACAATCTCAAAGATTGCATACTGTATGATTCCATTTACATAGCATTCAAAATGACAAAATAGAGGTAGAAAGCATATTAATGGTTGCTAGGGATTAGGGGAGAGGATAAGAAGGAAGGTAGCTATGACTATAAAAGGGCAGGACATGTGATCCTTGTAACAGAACTATTTTGCATCTTGACTGTGTTGATGGTACACAAATCTACACGTGACAAAACTGCATAGCAGTAAATACATATGCAAATGAGTACATGTGAAATCTATATAAGGTTGATATCAGTGTCAATTTCCTGGTTGTGAAACTGCATGATAATTAATTAAAATACTACCATTGGTAAAACAAAGTAAACAGGCTCTCACTTTCCTTTCTCTCTCTTATTTCTTACCACTACAGGTAAATCTACAGTTACCTCAAAATAAAGTTTAAAAAAATGTATCACCTTGCTGCTTTTATTTTTGTTTCTGTGAGTTCTGGATTAGAATAAAATTAATGTCCATGAGTTTATACTTAAAATAAAGAAATAAAATAAATACTGAAATAAATACGTAAAAATACAAAAATAAACAAGGCAGAAGGGAAAGCTCATCCTTAAACAATAATTTCAATTAATAAATGCAAAACAAATAGAGAAAACATTAAATAACCAACAGAACATCACAGTAAAGTTGTTGCAAGCAAGTTCCTTTGATGGACGCAATGCTTATTGTGGGTAAAATTTCACAAAAAACAATGTATTTCAATAGTCCCCATGGACATCCTGGATATACTCATAAATTGCACGGAAAAATGTAACTGTTCAGAGAATAAATTTAATATGCTCTATATCGACCAAGTTTAAAGTTAAAACCACCAGAAATGACATATCAACATTGCACACCCTGATATAACATATCTTAATGTAATATAATCATGAGAAAAACCCAAATTGAAAGAAATACTACAAAATATCTGACCACTATTCTTCAAAAGTGTCTAAGTCATGAAAGGCAGGGAAAGATTAATGAACAGCCACACATGGGAGGAGACTAAAGAAATATGAAAATTGAATACAAAATGTGATACTGGCACAGAAAAAATATATTAGTGAAAAAAATTGGTGAAAACACTGGTGAACTCTGAATACTCTGTAGCTAATAAATACTATTGTACTGATGTTAATTTTTGATAATTGCACTATAGTTATTCAGGGTATTAAATTTAAAGAAAGCTAGGTGAAAGGTATGAGAACTTTCCTTACCATTTTTTAAGAGCTTTATTGAGGTATAATTGACACAAATTAAAGTTCAACCATTAGAGTGTATAATTCAAGGCCTTTTCGTATATTTAGAGTTCTGCAAAGATCACCATAATCAAATTTTAAAACATTTTCATTCAACCAAAAAGAAACCTTGTACTCATTAGCAGTCACTTACCATTCCTCATTCCCTTAATATTGTACTATTTTTGCAACTTTTCTATAAGCCTAAAATTATTTCAAAATAATACAAAAAAGTAATAATTGTATTACATTGAATTAAAATTTATATGTAAATATAAAATTTGACACTATATAATGGCTTATAATCAAGAGGGAAATGAAATTCCTGTGTTCTAAAGTTCGCGAAGTCTCTCTTTCATAATAATGTTTCATATAAGGTTCTGTCTCACCTAGCCAGTTCTTTAATTAAATTTGCAATGCGTCTTTTGTCTTCAAGACATAAATCCTTCAGTGATGCACTCTTCATTCCTCTCTTACGGAAATTCTAAAACAGAAAAAAATCTTTTGGTTAATTTTTGCTAATAACAATTTTTAACACTTTTTAAGAAATCTTTTAAAATAAGCACAGGATGTGAAGTTTCTTCGATTTCTTAAATCTTGTGAAACTGGAGTTAACATGTAAAAGGGAGGAACTATGATCCTTGGCATTTATGCAACCAGAAAATAGGTCAGACCAATTACTTCTGGTAGTCAAGAATAATCTAAGACACTTAAAATGAATCCTGAAAATACTGAGAGCCAAGGATGGGAAAGAGAGGGGAGAAAAGGAAGTAAGAAAGAGGAGATGGCAAGAAAATAAGTTTAGTTTTAGATGCAGTCAATTTAAGAGTATATTCATGTGGATATGTTAGGCAGGAAGTTGGAAATATGGGTCTGGTTCTTAAGTCAGAGAAAAACAAAGATTTAAAATTTAGCCATATGATATTATGAAGGATGTCTAGATTTTTATTATTTTCTCTATATTTTTCTGTGTTTAATTTTTCCTTAAAGAAAAAATATTAGTTTTTTAAAATCATGTATAAATCCAAGAAAAAAAATTGTATTTGAAAGGATAAGAGAGGAATCAGAGGCATATAATATTGTAAGAGAAAATAGAAAAAGTTTCAAGAAGAGTATGGGTTAACAATGCTAATGATTGAAAAAGCTAAAGAGACTGTGGAAAGAAGTCACTGGATTTAACAATGGGAGAAGCTGCTGATAACCCATGAAAAGACGTTTCAGTAGAGCTGCAGTGAGTAAACGAACAAATGAGAAACTCTTGTACACAGGCAAGAGTTTTAGTGGCATCGTGTCGAAGAGCAAAAGCCTGAGACTCAGGTTTTAGCAACTAGAGAATGACTGAACTGTGGTATATTTATACAAAAGAATTGTATATTTATACAACAGAATAACAACAGGTACTGGTTGTTATGCTCTTGACCTTCATCTTCAAACCTACCCTTCCCTGCTCTGCTTTGTGATGCTGAGGCTGAGCCTCTGGAAATCTCATTTCTTCTTTCCCACATGGCTGTTAAACTCTGCCAATAAAAACTAGAGGGAGACTAGGGGTCGTTAGAGGAAAAAAAGACATATTCCTTCCTATTTGCTTCCTGTTCCAGTCAGTGTCACCCATTGAGAAGAACAGTAGATCCAGTCTGCAATTTTTCCTGCCCTCACACAACCAGCCTTTGTCATGTCACCTCAGGGACAACAGTACCAGTCAGGCTGGTTCCCCATCACCAAAGGTCCAAGTTTCAGCTCTGAGAGGCTCCTCCTCAAAGTTTCTTCTAAGTTTTAATAATTGCAACTTGTTCTGTCTGTTCTCCCAGGCCTAGAAATGGTAGTTGTTTCTTGCAGTTATTATCTATATGATAACTAAGTGTTCTCTTTTTGCCTTTTCAGTTCTCCAGAACCAATTTAACAAGTCTTTAAGTTAAATATTTTCAGTTAGAATAAATGACTAAACCCTACTGAATTAACAGTGGAAAAAAATATAACTATATACAATATAAATATCATGAACATTGTGTTGAGTAAAAAAGCAAATCACGTAATAATGTGCATCTGGAACCTTTATATAAGGTTCCAAATATATAGACTTAAATATTCTTTAAAAAGCAAATATATTTTATAGGACAATGGCTAGTAAACTATAGATACAAGCCAAAGCTGGCCATTGCCTATTTTTTTTTTTATGTAAAGGTTTATAAAAACACAGCTATGCACATTCATTTAGATATTGGCACATATACATGGCTCTTTTCACACTATAGGGTCATCAGAGTTGAGTACTTGAGAGAAACATTAAGAGGCTCATAAAGGCTAAAGTATTTATCTGGCCTTTTACAGAAAGTTTGTTGATCCTTGACATAGGAAAAAAAATGATAAACAGAAAATTCGAGTTAGGAATTACTAAAGAAGATGATAATAATAAGGGAAGGACACACCTCTACAGTCGCTTGATTTACAATGGCATCTTTTCATTCGATGGGGAAAAGAATGGTCTTCTCAATAAATGGTGCTGGACCAACAGACTATCAGTATGGAAAAATGATCCATGACCCTAACTTAACATCATATACATATTAATTCTTGATGAATAATGGATTTAACTGTGAATAATAAAATATGTCATTTCTAGAAGAAAGCGAGAACCTGCTGTTGAGAGTATAGTTAGCTAACAGACTCACTTAGTTGCTGTCACACCACGATCCACTGCAGTGTTCAGGCCAATGCCAATGACTGGGAAGAGCAGAGGTGCTAGAACTGGGCCATTTCTGCTTGAGAGGGCATCTTTAAAGAACAATATTTGCTCTGGAGTCCCCCATTAGCTTGATAAGACACTTCCTCAGACTGTAACACAGTCTGAAGTCTGAGTCTCTTCCTAATCAGTCTTCCTTCTTTCTTTCTCCTCTCAGATGCCAGACTTATAGTGAAATCTTACAGCTCTTTGTCTATTTCTGCTCATTTTACTCTTTATCCTTTATAGGTTTTTCCTCCATTAAATCCCTTCCATTTCTGATTCTATCTTGGTGTCTACTTCCCAAAGACTTGAACTGACATAATTACCATTTTGAGAAAAAAAGTGCACACGTGTGTGCGTGCACACACACACATCTAGGACTTCCACATCTATCCACAAAGGAGTAATGGGGACTAGATTTACCCTACTGCTGTAAACAAACAACAAATCTGACAAAATATATGAAACAACAGCTTTCAGATTTTGGACAGCAGACAGCACAGGACAGTGATCACTGAAAGACGGAAACAAAATGAGGTGAGCCCTACAATTATCTTAGCAATTGCCTGAGGAGAGTTCAGGGGTCAAGTAGGGAAACCCAGATGGATTCCCACAATGTCCCTAAGTAAAGAAGATAAGAGCTGGGAGTCCAGGAAAGCCAAGCTATCTAGAGTTTGCATGGAAGAATAACAAAGAAGATAGAGCTATTCAGAAAGAGTGCTCCAGAGATCTGGAAAGGGTCCCTTGCCAAGTCAATAACTGAGTACTCAGCAGAATACGTTTATGAGTAAGCTATCCAAATCCAAGGAAAGAACCCAAAATGAACAGTGGGAATAATCTCTGTAGCTAGTATAGTGCAAAGAATAGTCCATGTTCCCACTAGCCAGAGTGGAAAACCTTGTAATTTAAGGGGCATCAGGAGGAGTATTCAGAAGGGCACTGCCTGTAGTAGGAAAAATTAGCCCCATACTAAAGGCTGCTCTGGTGTCACCTTTAAAACTTAAAAACAAGCTTTAAAAGGATCAAATTTCCAAATTACTTAATGCTGTCCCAGAAGAAAGCTGAAGATTATTTATAGAAATACAAAAATATCCAGAATTCAAAAAAGGCAAAATTCATACTTCCTGGTGGCATCTAATAAAAAACCAAGCAGGCAACAAAGCAGGAAATACAATCCATAATTAGGAGAAAAATAACTCAATCTAAATCTAGCCATAAGTGACTCAGATGACAGAATTATAAACAAGAACATCAAAGAAGTTATTTTAACTATATTCCATATGTTCCAGAAGCCAGAAGACTGAGGTTGTTAAGTAGAGACATGGAATATATAAATAAAAACAAAAGACCCAAACTGAATTTCTAGAGTTAAAAGCTACATTGCTTTATCTGAAAAAATATATTGAATGAGATTAATGTTAGATTAGACACTGCAGAGACAATTAATGAATTTGAAGACAGAGCAATATAAACTATCCATAGATAAATATAGAACAACAACAAAATGAACAGAGGATTAGAGAGCTGTGGGGCAACTTCAAGTGCCCTTATATGTGTGTAATCAGAGTCTTCAAAAGAGAGGAGAGGGGGATGCAAAAATATCTGAAGACATAATAGCTGAAAAATGTTCCACAGATCCAAAATGTTCAACAAATCCCAACCAAAAGAGACATTTAGAAAACTACTCCAAGGCATACTATAATCAAATTGCTTAAAACCAGTGACACAAGAAAATTTGAAAAGTAGCCAGAGTTTAAACTCTGCTACAGAAGAATGAAAACAAGGATGACAGTAGACTTCTCCTTACGAACAATGCAAGCCAGGCAACAGTGAAGTGACATTATCAAAATTCTGAAAAAAAGAAAAAATACTATTGACTCAGAATTCTATAACCAGTAAAAATATCTTTCAAAAATGAGAGTGAAATAAAAACCTTTTCAGGCATACAAAACATAAGAAAATCATTACCAGCATATCTGAACTATAATAATGTTAAAAGTAGAATTAGGCAGATGGAAATGATATGGAAATGGAAATAAAAGGAGTCCAAATTGGAAAGGATGATGTAAAATTGTCTCTATTCGCAGATGGCATGATTTTACATATAGAAAATTTAAAGAAATTCACAAAAGAACTATTAGAAGTAATAAGTAAATTTAGAAAGGCTGAAGGACAGAAGATCAATAGACAAAAATCAACTGTATTTCTATACATTGGTATTGAACAATCCAAAAATAAATGAAAACAATTCCATTTATGATAGGAAAAAGTATAAAATACTTAATACTTAGAAATAAAAAACACCTCTGGAAAGGAATTAAAGATGACCTACATAAACAGAAAGGCATTTCACACACCATATTCAAGAACTGGAAGGCTTAATATTATTAAATTGAAAGTACTCACTAAATTATCTAAAGATTCACTAAAATCTCTATCAAAATCCCAGCTGAGCTTTGTGCAGAAATTGACAAGCTGATTCTATAATTCTTATAGAAATGCAAGGGACTCACAATAGCCAAAACAATCCTAAAAACAAAGTTGGAAGACTTACATTTCCTGATTCCAAAAATTACTGTGAATCTACAGTAATTAAGACAGAGTGGTATTGGCATAAAAAGAGAAATATTGACCAATGGAATAGAATTTGAGAGTCTACTAATAAATGATTACATTTATTGATAACAGATTTTTAATAAAAGTATGAAGACAAAGAGAAAAAAAGTCTTTTCAACAAATGATGCTGGGACAACCAGGTATCCACATGCAAAACAATAAAGTCTGGTCACTACCCACACCATATACAAAAATAAAAACAAAATGGATCAAAGACTAAATGAACTATCTAAAAACATAAAACTCTTAGAAGAAAATATTGACGTAAATCTTTGAGACCTTGGATTAGGCAATGATTTCTTAGACATGAGAGCAAGCATAGCTGGAGAAAGAAAAAAAAAGATAAATTGGACTTCATCAAAATTAAAAATTTCTGTGCTTCAAAAGACTAAAAAGTATGTGAAAAGACAATGCAAGGAATGAAAGAAAATATTTGCAAATCACAGAACTGATAAGAGATCTATAGATAGAATCTATAAAGAACTGTTATAACTCAAGAAGATAAGAAGACAAATAATCCAATTGAAAAGGATTTAAGTAGACATTTCTCTAAAGAACATATACGAATGTGCAAGAAGCATATAAAAAGATGCTCATCATTATTAGTTATTAGGGAAATACAAATGAAAACCACGGTATACCATGTCATGCTTGCTATGAAGGTTATAATAATAAAGATGAATATAAATGTTGGCATGTATGTGGAGAAACTGGAATTCTCATACACTGCTGGTGGGAATATAAAATTGTGTAGCCACTTTGGCAGCTCATCAAGAGGTTAAACAGAGAATTAGTACATGACTCAGCAATGCTACTTCTAGGTATATATATTACCAAGGAAATTGAAAACATATATCCACACAAAAACTTTTATATCAATGTCCATAGCACTATTATTCATAATAGCCAAAAAGTATTACAATTTGAATGTTCTCCCACTGATGAATGGATAAACAAAACATATTCAGCCATAAAAAGAGATGAAAAAATAATTGAAGTAATGATACATGATATAAATAGATGAACCTTAAAATCATTATGCTAAGTAAAAAAAGCCAATCACCAAAAGCAACATATAATTCCATTGATATGAAATGTCCAGACTAGACAAATCTATAGAGACTAAAAGTAGATTAGTGGTTGCTATGGGCTGAGATGACTGGGCAATGGGGAATGACTGCTAATGAATACACAATTTCTTTCTGGAATTAGACTGTAGTCATGGATCCACAACTCTGTGAATATGCGAAAAACCAATGAACTGTATACTTTCAAAGGGTAAATATTATTATGATTTGTGAATTAAATCTCAATTTGAAAATAAAAGACAGCTGACTAAAGAAAAATAATAATTGTATTTTGGGGTTCATGTATAGAAGTAAAATGTATGACAATATTACAAAAGTCAGGACTTATACTATTGAATGCTCCTTAAATTACAGGTGAAGTGTGAAAATATCACTTGAAAATAGGCTGTGATAAATTAAAAACGTATATTATAATCCCTAAAGCCAGTGAAATAGCCAAAGAATTATAGCTAATAAATCAATGGAATCATAAAAAATGTATGGACTTAATCCAAAAGGCTATAGTTAAATATAAAACAATTATATTTAAAAAACTTCATGTACTGATAAGAACTTGCAAATTGAACTATTCACATGCCAGTGTGAAGTGGGTAGATTGAGGATACAAGTAACAAAAGTTAAATCCCATTGCTAGAAACAAACTAGCTATTGCAAATGTTCTCAATAACATAAGCCAGGGGTTGAAAAATTTATATACAGGGTTAAACAGTAAATATTTTTGGCTTTATGAGCATATAGTTTCTGTAGCAACTGTTCCATTGAATACAAAAGGAGCCATCAATATTAATATTAAAAGAATGAGTGTGGTTGTGTTCCAATAAAACGTTATTTACAAAACAGGTGGCAAGTAAATTTGGCCTACAAGTCATAGACTGCCAAACTGTGACCTAAACTTTGCTTGGGAAGACAAACTATAATAAAAGTCAGTAAAATAAACCAGTCAGATAGGACATGTGTCAAAGGAATGTACAGATACTATTACAGTCAAAGATGAAGGAGAAATCAGTGACTGGACTATAAAAAGAAGAGTCTTTATGACATTATTTTCCAAGTGTAGGAAATAACAACACAACAATAATAATAACTCAGGCTAATTTTATTTTAATAAAAACATCTTTCTTATATTTAAGGGTTTATTCCTCATCAACAAACAAATTTACATGAACAAAAATAATTAAGGACACCTAGTCAAAAAAAAATTGTCAATTTGATTTACTAACTCTAGACAGATCAAGATAATAAATTTTCTTAACTAAGACTTAAAGCAAGCCCATATATTTTGGAGCTTTATAGTCACACCAAGCATCATCAAAGCATCCTAGAGTCATCCTCAGTATCTTTTCAGAATGCTTACAGATCATCTAATGTTCTTTCAAGGACTCTTTCATCAGTTACTGGTCAGCAGATTGGAGAATTAAGAAAAAATCAGATAAAAAATTACTAACCTGTTCATTTACTGAATCTCCTGCACCTTTTAAAGACTCCATGGAGATTGAAGCCGCAGTCACCCTGGAAGTCTTAACATTAGCTTTTGGACTTATCAACTTTTGTCTTGATCTGGTATTTCCTTCTGTAGAAATTCCTAAGGATTTCCATCAAATAAGATTTCAGAAATTATATCTTCTCATTTTAAGACCCTCCCCCCATCAACCTCTTCCTTGATATCCTCTAATTTACAAAATGATAGGGAAAACTCTTACTTCATTTTAAAGTTCTCTTAATAAATAATGAGTAATAAAAAGATTGTTTTGAATAAAGGTTCAATTGAAATATTTTTAAAAGGTGCTGGAACATTCATAAGTCATATTAAAATCAATAAATTACAACATGACACATATACTCTAACTTAGAGGACATTAAAGATCTGCGTTTTCACATAATTGGGGTACCTTCAATAGTTCGGTTTCATTACTCATCTGCAATAACCAGTAAATGTTAAAGAGTTTATTGCATAAACTCTGTTTTCATTTTCATACTTTTCTTTGAAATATTAAATTTAGTCTACCATTTGTAATATAAAAAAATGAGAAAAGACTCTTACTCTTTAATACGTGAATAAAATATAAGGCAGAATTTCGAACCTTAATAGGGTCACATCAAATTTGTTTTTAATTGTAGGTTCTAATGAACTGTTCCGCATCCAGTTATACCTGCGAAGTTGTCGTAATTTTTATCTTTCTCCTAACACTTAAGAAGAAAAAGGAAGTTTACCAAATTAACATAGAAAGTCATACCTGGAACATATACTACGGATTGCTCTTCATCAGAACCTATGCAAGAGGACATGAAGGAAAATACTAGAAAAAAATTATCCAATATCCAAATGTTGCTTCTGTTCTGTACTTGTTATAATTCATAATTTCTTTTGACCTGGGAATTTATAATTAGCTTTTAAAAACAAAACTAGTAAGCAAAGTAATTGAATTAAATGAAGCAAAATTAATATTCTTTTAAAGTTCATCTTTATATAGTCACAACTATATATTTTGTAAAACTTTTGAAAGGCTTTGTTCCATAAAACTTTTATCCATGGTTATTCCCAAATGAGATATCCTACACTACAAATTCTGCTGTTAACTCCTTTCATTTCCTTTCTTTTTGTAAACAGGGAGTTCAGTGGCTCCAGTTTGTTCATTACTGGAGAACTGACAAGTTATTTTAAGCATAAATAATTTCAAAATGAGCTTTAGATTTGAAGAACAAACACTGTTTGAGGGCAAGTCAATCATGCAAACACAAAGGCAATTTTTATTCTTCTGTAGTGTATTCATGAAATGTCCCAAGAAGCCTTACTATTTAACAAGTAGAAAAAACTTAAGACAAAAAGAACTACAGTATTTTGAATTTCAAATGGAGAAATTGAGAAAAGCTAAGACCATAATACCTCCATAAAAAAAGAACCAATTCAATAAGAAAGCTTTCTTTCCATAAACAAAATTTTATTCTGCACTATATGTAATATGTCCACAATTTGATAATACCTGCAGGAAGGAAGTATCTGAACAATTTTTCCAAATGATCTAGAACATTTCAAAGTTTTCTGTTCTTTTATAAACATTCTCTTTTCCAAGATTTCCAGACAATTCATTAACTGTTTCCTTCCAGAAAATGGCTGAAGTAGAAACAGTAGATGTAATAATATGTTCAAAAAGTCCATATAGTTCCGCTCATGATCAAGCCTAGAAATGGAATCTTTTCAGAAAATACTGACTGGATATGCACAGAATTCCTACAGGAATTTAGGAATACAAAGATGGTGGGTACTGTTTGAGCTGCCAGTTCTCCAGAACAGCACATCCACTGTCATAGTTCTAACTCTTTGGCTGATAACCAGTACCCCTAAACTTTAAATTCCTTCAAACATCAGGCATGGAGCTTAGAAAATTTTAAGAGGCACATAAGACAAGAAAACAAACAAAAAATTAGACCCTACTACTTCAAGGAAACTAATAGCAACTAGCACAGGAACAGACACAAAATTTCTAAATTCACTGACATTCAATCTATAAAAAAGTCTTACAAAATGAAATTGTACAAGCTCTTCAACAGCAAAAATTGACTTTTTAATATCCCTTGAGTTTAGCACACACAATAAGTGCTCAATAAATGTTTAATTATTTGCTGTTGGAAATATACACATGGAAAAAAGGGCCCAGATAGAAAAAGTCCAAGATGATTCAGGACATGTTCCATATGGCACTGTTTTCAATTAGAAGATAACAATAACGATGAATTTGCAAAGTATTGTCCAAGGATGACCTATGAAAAGACTAACATAACTGAGTCCTGGAAAACATACTACATTTCCCATTCACAAAGGAGGCTGCTCACAAGTGGAAGAGACCAGTCACTGGGGATCCCACTTGGTCGCACTGGATTTGAAAGCTCATCAAGTATTTTATATTTTCTCTCCTCTTCTCAAACCTGATACTGCTTCCTAAATCCTTAGTGTCAGCTAATAACTTTGCTTCCTATTTCTTTAAGAAAAACAAACTGTAGAGAGAGACTTTCCAGAAGTTTCCATTTGCGATGGCATGTAAACCCTAAAGACTTCACCAAAAAACTGTTAGAATAAATGAATTCAGTAAAGTTGCAAGATACAAAATCAATATACAAAAATCTGTTGTGTTTATATACACTAATAATTATCAGAGAAATTAAGGAAACAACCCCATTTAAAATCGCATCAAAAAGAATAAAATACCTAGGAATAAATTTAAACAAGGAGGTGAAAGACCTGTACAGTGAAAATTGTAAGACGCTGATTAAATAAATTGGAGACACAAATAAATAAAATGATATTCCGTGCTTATGAATTGGAAGAATTAATATTATTAAAATGTCCATAGTACCCAAAGCCATCTACAGTGTCAATGCAATCCCCATCAAAATTCCAATGGCATTTTTCACATAGAATAAACAATCCTAAAATTTGTAGGGAACCCCAAAAGACCCTGAATAGCCAAAACAATCTTGAGAAAGAATAACGAAGCTAGAGGTATCACACTTTCTGATTTCAAACTATATTACAAAGCTATAATAATCAAAAACCAGTATGGCACTGGCATAATAATGAAGACAAAAGTTCGCCATGAAAGCTACCCTTTTCCTGCTTTCTTTTTCTCCATAGCACCTACAAACATCGGACATAGATTATATTTAACTTATTCAGGGCCTCATCTCATCTCCCCAAAATTGAAGCACAAAGCAGGTGAGGATTTTCATCTTGTTCTGTTCAATGTTGTATCTCCAAACATCAAAGAATGCCTAGCTCACAGTAAATCATCAAGGAAACAATGAAATTGATATTTAATTTTAGGAGGCGCTGTCCAACAAGCCTCAGGGTTATCTTTTTTTCTTTAGCTCATTTGAAATATGGAAGTAAAACCCATTAGTTACTCCCACGGTAAATTTGTTTTCAATAATAATAATAATAAACACTAAATAAACTGACCTTAAAAAGTTTTTAAAAATAAGACTAAACATATTTGAAATTGCCTCAATCCAACCAATCTTTTCTAATCATTTGTAATCTATCTCCATTTAATTATATTAAGAACCCAAATATATATCTTCTTTAAATACAGAGATTCTCAACACATATTTTAAGGAAAAGTCAAGGAGACGATATTTACCAAATGTACACTGGAACTCCTATTGGGTTCTCTGTGCCACCTTAGTCCCACTTTGGTTTCTTTGGAAGCAACTCAATAAGACAAGCATAGCTAGTAATAAAGCATCCTTAATGCTGATACCAATCTATCCAGATGCCCCAGAATTAAAGTAGTAATTTGAAACCTAAGACAGAAGTGGTAGAGAGGAAAATTCATGTCTATTCCAGATCACTGAAGAAAATAAACTTAGTGGCACCCACTCTAACCTTTTGAGTTTGAATCGCTTACCAGCAACACTTGTATATGTAATTATTAGTGACCACATGACTTTCCTGGCTAGCACTGGCATACCTCATCTTATTGTGCTTCGCTTTATTGCGCTTCAATGATGTTGCATTTTTTACAAATTGAAGGCAAGACCCTTCACCAGGAAAAAGATTTATTGTGATACTTAGTGGTCTAGAACCGAATCCACGATATCTGAAGATGCCTGTGTGTTATTTTAACAATAAACATTAAATCTTTATTTTTAATTGAAAAGTCAATGGCAGAGATTACAGCTACTGCAATGTTTTGACCAGGTCTCTTATAGTTCATGTTTGTTATTATTAAGTTATTAATACTGTTAATAATACACTTGAGAGAATTTAAGCGATGAAATTTAGATAACTGCAGAAACATTAACTTCTTCTGATGTTACCAGGAACTATAATGGAGCAGGAAAACAATTAATGGCTGAAGGGACTTATTTTACTTGCAGATTTAACCCACAAAATGACAACACAGCATATCAGTTGTTTACACATTAGGTACAAGATATACCTTGTACAAAATAGCACTGCTGAATCATACTGTGCAGGAGATGTATAACCCATAAAAACAACAGTAAAAATGATGACATTCAGTTACAGATGATCTTTCCTCACATGATGGAAACATCTAGGATGGGAAATCTCTCAGTCGCATTTCTTTAACTGTTTAGGGAAAGCACTGAAAAATCTTTAATAGTGTGAAAATACCAGATTATAGGTACATACTTTTAGGCCTTTTTCTATTGAAAGGTTTTGGGGTGGTCTGGGAAGTTATCATTGTGATAAAAGAATAAGATCCAAAGACACGTGACTAAATAAAATGATTCATAACTATTATGCTTTTTAGCAAAGAATCCGTAACAAATTCACATTTGACATTGCTTTTAAGTCTAACGAATTTATAAAATGAAAATATCTGAGGCTAGATGTTAATTGGGATGGGCTGGGAACACAAGTGGTACTAGTAACCTTGCAATTCCTTTCAAACATCTGAATTTCTATATAGAGTGTAATAACCAGCATTTTCCCCCATGCAATTTCAACCCTTTACTTTCAATGAGAAGATGAGTATTTTACATACATTTTTAGGGTAAGGAAAATTTAAGAGAAAAGGGAGGATATGGGACTTCTATATGAAACAGAGAGTAATATGACTACATGAATTGAGAGTAGAGAGCTGCTAAGACCAAGAATATAGTTGCAGTTCACATAACTATCAACTTAATTAGTCCCACTGCAACAGATTCTCTCCTCCCCATCCCCAACCATTTATTCTACATCAGAACAATAAAAGTGTTCCTAAAGTTAAGGAATAACCAAACCACATAGGTGGTTATGAAAATGATTACCCTAAAGGAGCACACTGTAAGTAATAAACTTTAAACATCTCTTCTATCACAAAATTCTATCATTGCAGAGGCAGTGTTTCATGAGAAAAAGACTTGTGCCAATTTTCCGACTTCCTACTTCAGTCCAGTAGTTTCTAAAGCACATATTCCCTTTGAATCCTGATAGGTAAAGAAAAAAATATTTAATTTGCACAGAGCACTAGTGTGCTTTCATCCACAGTGTATGTATATGATTTCACTTGATTCTCACCAACCTATCAGAGACAAGTAGTAATTATATTTAGAAAGTGCATTAACACTAAACAACACTGAACAGCGCTAAATGTAAAAATATTCCTCTCTCCATGGCATGACACTTTAATCCTAGTGAATCTGTAGGGGAATTTTTAATATAATAGTCTAAGTTTCACTGGTTGCTAAGCAGAATGTGCAAAGAATACACAAAGTTAACAGCAATGCCTCAAACAATGTTATCACCAATCCTAGCAAACAAAACCACTCGGCCTCTGCAGATACCCTACTCTCATGTAACACTCTAACAAACATGAAGCAAACTATCAGGACCAAACCTAAGGCTGGAACAGTCTAGCTAACGCAGGGAAAGAACCACTTATGTCACACATATCATAGATACTGAACTGGGAAGAGTACCACAAGGGTAAAACCTCTCAGCTTTTCCACCCCAAACAGTCCAAGAACTTTAATTCTCCCAGTGGTGACCTGCAAACCACATGTAAATCAACACTACATCCAGGCATAGCCAGCACCACCAAACCACATCCCGTGAAACCAAGCCCCACACTTCTCAAAAGAAATCTCGGTATGAAAATAAATCATCACTGATAGGCCTTTTAAGTCCAATAAGATCTTGATGACATCCTCCTAAACAGAGCAGACCAAGGACACTCCCAAGCCAAGAGAAAAAGGCTCCCGGTCCATCCAACACCCTTCTCTCCTCCAACAGCTCACTACGCACAGACTCAGCCAGCCTGAGGTCACCAAGAGCTGGGGGGTCCTTCCAAGCCCCAACCTGGGCCACGACTGTAGGCCATCTTTCCAGAGCTTACTGCCACAGAGGGCTGGGAAACATGTACTGAGCCCCCACACCTGGAACCTCATCCTGGAGACAGTATCAGGCACTCTGCCACCTAAATCCCAAGCAAGGAAAAAAGGCGGGCACCTGGACAGCTGCGGGACGGGACGGCCTTGCCCCCGGTGTTAGCCCCAAGCTTCTACCTTTCGCTGAGCCCCCACGCGCCCTCTCGCCGCTCGTCGCACCGGAGAGGGCGCCAGCGCCCCCTGCCAGGCGGGCAAAGGATACAGTCCCGGGTCCA